GGAGTTTTACATAGATCAGAGTAGGAGTAGGATTTTTCTAGAAAGGAAAGTCTGTCTTGGTTGGATGAACCAAGTTATTTAAATTCTGCCTGATAATTCTGTCCAGTCTCCTTGCTTGAGAACAAAATATTGTACACCCATCTGAACTGGATAAAAACAGAAGTTAATAGCAGCTCTGTGGAAATAGATACCCTGCTTATCTTCTAATCCAAGAGTCCAGGCTCTATCTGCTGCACCACACACTCTTCAGGGTGATAATTACTCCCATTAGTTAGTGTTTGCTGAGAAGTGAACTATGGTATCCAATTTCAATAATGAAGGCTATAGCAATAATAACACATAACAGCCTATTTTATTTTCATCAAGAAGACCAAGTCCATCAGATAGAAGAGCTATGGGTAATTCTGGGTGTCTTGCCGGATATCTCTGAAGTTGGTTATCCTGTGGGGGTTTGTTTTAATTTCTCTCTTGACTACCAAGAACATCTTGACATTGAAAAATAAGACGTCCTTGTTGCTGATGGGGAGGGGAGGGCTCATCACAAAGCAGTGGGCCAGGGCTTCCTTGGTGGCACAGTGGATAAGAACCTGCCTGCCAGTGTAGGGGTTACGGGTTCGATTTGGAAAGATTCCACAGGCCTTGGAGCAACTGAGTCCATGCACCACAGCCACTGGGCTCTCGCGCTGCGCCCACTGAAGCCCGGGCCCCTGGAGCCCACGCTCCACAGCGAGAGAAGCCGCTGCAGTGACAGGCCCTTGCAAAGAGTAGCCCCCTCTCACCGCAACCAGAGAGAGCCTGCTCACAGTAACAGAGACCCAGTGCAACCGCAAATGAACAAATACATGTGAAAATTTAGAATGAATAATAATAAAAAACTCTTCACAAAGCACTGGGCCAGAACTGCTTGCTTTTTTCTTCCAGTGGAACATCAGACTTTGCTACATGACTCCCACACTGGTGTCTATCACAGCTTAGAAAGGCTGGCTTTCCTAAAATGAGATGAGAGTATTAACAATAGAGGGTGACAATACAGAACATAAAGAAGCACAAAGGAAGTCTTCATCCTCACGTTGAACTTGCCCAGGATACATGCTGATAAAATCAGATCTGATCACATCTCGAGCTCCATCTGTTAAGAGTGTTCACAACCGCTTAGGAGAATACCAACGAGGAAAGACCTGGAAATATGTTTTCTGCCTGCCCAAGTAGTTCCCTCTCTTCGCTCTCCAACCTGGCTAAAAATACAACCAAAGTGTCAGTAACACACACACACACACACACACACACACACACACACAATACTAAAAAGCCTAACATTTGTTGAACAGATTGTGGCAGAGTACCAGCTAGCTTAGTGTTCGGTATGCAAACATCCTCGGTGCTAATTCATCCAGAGGAGGACTTGTAGGGAGGGGGAACAGAGAGCGTCAGAGAAGAAGGGAGCCAGGTCGTCGGCTGCCTCTAAGGGGAAATGCCAGAGCCTAGCTGACAGGTCAGACAGGTCAGACAGGTCAGAATGGTGCAGTTGCCTTCTATGTCCGTCCAGTGGCAGCGGTTCTAGCGAGAGTCCCCTCTACCTCAGCTGGTTCAGGTGATGACCGTCTACGTGAATGTATACCTCGTGCTGGGCCCTCAGCGGGCACTGAACCATTTGGAAGCTTGCAATTCATCAGCCGAGTTCAAGGACTTGTCTAGGTTATTCTGACTCTAAACGTCAAGCCCAGGGGATGTAATCTGCTGGAAGCACGAAGGTGAAGTTTCCAAATAAAGAAGACTAATGTGGGGCTTCCCTGGTGGTCTAGTGGTTAGGAATCTGCCTGCTAATGCAGGGGACATGGGTTTGATCCCTGATACAGGAAGATCCCACATGTCTCAGGCGGGACAACTAAGACCATGTAGCACAGCTGCTGAGACTGCATGCTGCAGGTGGTGAAGCCCTGTGCCTAGAGCTTGTGCTCCTCCGCAAGAGAAGCCGTCCATGAGACGCTGCCCCAGCAGTGAGATGCCCCCCGCTGCAGTGAGATGCCCCCCTGCAGTGAGAAGCCCCTCCCTGCAGTGAGAAGTCCCTCCCTGCAGTGAGACGCCCATGCTCTGCAACTGGAGAGGGGTAGCTCTCCATGAGACGCCCCCCCTGCAGTGAGACACCCCCCCTGCAGTGAGACGCCCCTCCCTGCAGTGAGACGCCCCTCCCTGCAGTGAGATGCCCATGCTCTGCAACTGGAGAGGGGTAGCTCTCCATGAGACGCCCCCCACTGCAGTGAGACGCCCCCCCTGCAGTGAGATGCCCCCCACTGCAGTGAGACGCCCCCCCCTGCAGTGAGACGCCCCCCCTGCAGTGAGATGCCCCTCCCTGCAGTGAGACGCCCCCCTGCAGTGAGGTGCTCCCCCCTGCAGTGAGAAGCCCCCCCTGCAGTGAGACGCCCCCCCTGCAGTGAGAAGCCCCCCCCTGCAGTGAGACGCCCCCCCTGCAGTGAGATGCCCCNTCTTTTTCTTTTCTTTCTTTTTTTTTTTTAGGCTAGCATTTCTTAAGAGGTGGTATACACTCATTCCGCTTGGGGTAGTACAGAAAATTTCAAATGAAATATCTTTTACTTTAATAGTTTGGTGTTTATTTGAATGTGCCTTAGAAGAATTTGTTATACCACAAACTTGTGACTTCATAGGTGATATTGTTGGTTTTCCATTGACATTAGGGATATGAAATTTTCATTTTAAACACTTTCAGTAAAAATAAGTTTATTTGAATAAATCTTTAAATAAATAATAATATAGAAGCTGTTATGACAAGAATATGGCAAAAATCATGAAGAGAAAATGTAACAATTGGAAAGTTTGGGAAATACGTCATCAAACCAGGGGATAAGGTAGATTGCCTTGTAGATAGAAGGGTCTGAAATAGCAGTCAGGGAAAGGGAAAATGGTAGAACTCTCAGAGGGTCTGGATTCCGGTTCCAGCTGCCACTAGGCCCATATGAAATTGACTCCCTCTATAAAATAACTCTCCTGTCTCACTTAGCATTATTATTTAGTGGTTCTATTTCACTTACTGTTATTGAGATTATGAACAATCATAATGACAGCCAGAGCAGGAAAGTCTGCTGTGTGCCAGATGCTTTCCAACAGTCATCATTCTTTTTATAAAATTATTTATTTATTTGTTTTTGGCCACACTGTATGGCATGTGGGATCTTAATTCCCCAAGCAGGAGTTGAATCTGCACCCCTGTATTGGAAGGTGGAGTCTTAACCACTGAATGGCCGGGGAAGTCCTCAAGAGTCATCATTCTTAATTCTCATAATAGTCATGTAAAGTAAGTGTAGTAATACCCATTTCATATATGAGGGAATCGGTGCTGGAAGATCTTGGCCACACAGAACCTGATTTGAATGAACTTAGATCTGACACTGGAGCCTGTGTTTGCCCCTCTGAGCCTGACTGTGTCATCGTAGCAAATTCCTATTCACCCTCAAAACTAAGCTCGAGATCACATATTCCAGGAAGACTCCTTTGACCTCATCTCTCCATCTTGCTTGGATGTCCCACCTCTGTGTTCCCTTAATTTTCTATGGAGGTTTCTATTTGCATTTGTATTCCCAGCACCCTACATACTTTGGGGGCACAGATTACATAGTCAACAAATTGCAGAAAGAGGGAGAGGATGAGGGAGAGGGAAAAGGGGAAGAGAGAAGGGACTGAAAAAGAAAATATATTTGCTGCTTTATTCTATTAAATATGAAAGGAGTAGAATTGAGAGGCAGGACTGTAAGGTGGTTAAGCAAATGGCCTCCTAGATCCAAAACACCCAGTTTTGCCACTTTCTAGATGTGTGGCTTAGGGCACAGGTTCTATACCTGTGCTTCACTTTCTTCATCTACGGAATAGAGATGTCAATAGTACCTACCTTAAAAGCTGTTGTAAAGACCAAATGAATTATCATATATAAAGTACCTAGAAGACTGACTGGCAGGTACTCAGTAAACATTGGCTGTTATTATCTCCATCATAAGAGGGGAAGGGTTAACACTATTGCCAAGTGAAGAAAACAGCTAGTACCGTGACACAGAGAACCTCGTCATTTTCCCAGTTCTACTTGTTGACCAGTGTAGAGCCCTTCCAAAGCAGTTACAGTGAAAGAGAATTACAGACAAGAATGCACTATTTAATATCTTTATCTTTCCACTTCTATGACAGCAAAATTAAAGACTCTATCTCTACTCTTAGAACATCCTGAAATACTGATATTAAAATTATCACACTGAATTACATTCTAAACTTAGCTACTTGTGGTCTACCACCCTCAACTAGACTAAGTTCCTTGGAGGAAAGGATTTCTGTTTGTTTCTTGTCCAGCTCTCAGTAAAGGGGATGGCATGAAGTAAGTGTTCAATACATGTTTGCTGAATGAATATTATAGAAAAGATGTGCACCCGTGAACACTAAGATGAAAAACATTACATGATATTTATCATAAAGAGGCTCAGATCAAGTGACACTTCAGCTCAGAAAGGAGAAATCACCTCTATGTAGGCAAGGTAGTAGAAAAGAATGAATGGTCACATCTGTGAACTTTGGAGTCAGACTGCTTCGGTCTTGAGCCCTAACTACAGCACTTATGAGCTTATGTGACCTTGGGATGTAATCTAAATTCTTTAAACCATAATTTCCTCATCAGAGAAACAGAGATAATACTCCTTAGAAGAATTAGGTGATCTCAAGTGTTTGTAACATGTTGTAACATGTCACTGCCTATTATGGTTTGCAGAGTGACCAGCATGCCATCATCAGTATCATCACCAAAGGCTTTGTGATAGAGGCGCTCACTATGTGGATGGGCAGACACAAGGGAGGAGCGCCGAAGAGCCAGGAGGTGTAAGTCAAGGTACTGTGGCTGTTGGATAGATTCAAGGCCGAACGGGAGGGCACGTGGCACTGTTTGACTGGATCACTGGGTATTTTCAGGAAAGTAAGGGAGAGAGGATTGGGAAATCAACTGTAAATACCAGGCTGACAAACTTAGTCTTTATTTTACATGTAACACTGAGACTTTACAGGTTTCTAAGCAGGATAGTGACCGGTTCAGAGCCAAAGTTTCCTTTTTAAAAAAATGTTATTTGTTTATTTTTGACTGTGCTGGGTCTTCATAGCTGCTTGGGCTTTTCTGTAGCTGTGGTGATCAGGGTCTACTCTTCATTGTCGTATGCAGGCTTCTCATTGCAGTGGCTTCTCTTGTCGCAGAACACGGGTTCTAGGGCGCTCAGCTTTCAGTATTTGCAGCACGTGGGCTCAGGAGTTGCAGTTCTGGAACTCTAGAGCACAGGCTCCATAGATACGGCACACGGATTTCATTGCTCCCTGGCACGTGGGGTCTTCCTGGATCAGGGATCAAACCCACGTCTCCTGCATTGGCAGGTGGATTCTTCACTACTGAGCCGCCAGGGAAGCCCTCAGAGCCAGCATTATTTTATGGGGAATGTTTTGACTCTTTGTGCAGGACAATCTGGGGAAGGTGAGGGGAGATGGGAGCAAATTAACCACTTAAGAAGCTTCTCCAATACTTCCCAGGAAAAGTTGAGGTCCCCCACTGGGATGATGGCTTGGGGAATGAAAAAAGCGATGAGCGTGTGGGACACTGGGAAGAATGAACTCACAGAACTGTGTCCAGCTGGATGTGAAAAGCCAAGTGAAGGGGCAGAGGCAAAGACAATTCTGGACTGGATCGCCAGTTAGAACTGGACAGCCAGGAGCATGGTGCTGCTGTTTGCTCTGTATAGCAGAAGAGCTGAGAGTGGCAGAAATAAAGCGCAGGGGAGCCTGGCTTTAGGGGGAAAATATATTTGCTTTTTGATATGCTAAGTTTAAGGTGCAGTGGGATATTCAGGTGAGGAATGATATTCAAGAGACACTTGAAAATGTGATCTTAGAACTCAGACCGATAATTATTTAGAAGGCGTCTGCATAGAGAGAATAGCTAAAGGTATACAGCTGGATTGGCTGTCTGAGACAGAGAGAAGAGACTCGCGAAGTCCCCCTTGAGTAGTACTTCTCCCAGCTAGAAGAGCGAAAGAGACGTGTGTGGAGGAAGATGACGGGGAGGCGGGAGGGATGAAGAACATTACCACCAAAACCAAGAACAGAGTGACTGAAGTGTTCAGAGGAATTGTGAGTCACAGCGAAGTCACAGAGAGAATTGAGAAGGGACCGCCGGCGTTGGCCATTAGGAAGTCATCGCTGACTGATGAGAGAACAATGTGTGGAAGAGAAAACTAGATTGCAGATGCAAAGGAAAGGAGAAGTGATGTGGGGGAAGGAGGCGGTCGACTTGAGCGTACACTGTTCTGGAAGTTCAGGAATGTAAGGACAGCGATGTGATGGGGAGCAAGGTGGGAGCAGTATCGTTCTTCCCAAGGTGAATGACCACACATCAGTGTTTATCCAGAGATGCTAACCGTCTATACGTTAAGAAGTAGAAAGCAATACTGGTGGAGGAGACCAGAGGAGGGAATTGGAAACTAGATTGAAAGTCAGGTTACAGCCATTCTAAAGTCTGGGACCGTGTTATCTGTATGTGTATGGCAGCATCTGTTTCAGCAGAGACAGGGGACTTATTTATCACACATCAACAGGCTGTGAGACAAGAGGGAACTGAGAAACTCTCCCTTTCCACTCAGGAAAACAAAGCTTGATCAACTCTTAGAAAAGAATTGAAAAGCTTTGAAAAAGTATTTTAGCAAGGAAAGAACACTAAGGGAAAAAAAAAAGGCATATGATAGCTTCCCTTTCTTTCCTTTTTCCACCCAAAAGCACTTTGGGAAAATGCCCAGGTGCATCATAAGAACTCTCTAATAATATTGTTAACACTGTGCGTGTTTATGGCATGTCTGTCTGCACAGTGCTTTTCGTTTTATAGAAAGCTCTCACGATTTCTTTTATCCTCCCAGAATCTCTGGGAGGTATTACTTTTTCTCTGTTTTATAAGGGAAGAAATTGAGGACCAGAAAGAATCGAGCAATTTCCCCTAGAGCCCCAGATCCCTTGCTCTTTTTTCCTACATGCTTTCAAATCCCGTTTATGCGGTCTTCACAGTATAAGCCTCCGTGTATGGGGTGACAAGTCAATGTGTAGTGAAGTGACCATCCTCATTTCCGTATTTCTATCAATGTGAACTAAAACTACATGAGTTTGGGGGCACTTTTTCATCAAGTCCTATTTCTCACTGAATAGTAGCCAATGCTTCTTTTTCACCCCTGTCATAAAGAGTCCCAGGGCAGAAGTTCTTAGCAGCATGTTTGCCTCTTCCCACATCTGCCCAGTTCAACCGGACCTCTGACGTGCATGAATAGGGCCTCAATACTTAAACCTGCTCCGCGTGGGTCAGGAGACAGGAACGCAGTTCTTTCCCTCAATGTCTAGTGCCCGAGTAGGAAGAAGGCCAGACTTGCAGGCTCGGTTTCACACAGAGACTGCCACTCAACACTCTGAGCCCCAGTGCCATGCTCTGAAAAATGAGGATACTAACAGCTGTTTTATAAGTTTGCTGCAAAGATTCAGGCAAGCACCTGTGATGCGTTTGCTATTCTGCTGTAGCTGTCTTGAAATTTTTAACACTTTTCAAAGTAGGAGACCTGTATCTTCATTTTGACTGGGCCCTGTAAATTATGTCACTGGCCCTGCCTGTGTGTCCTTGGCCAAGTCACTTAACTTTTCTCGGCTCCAGTCCATAATTAATTAAATTCTTAGGATGATTCTCAATCCTTCTTCTACCTTCTATTAGCACAATTTGATATGGTTGGTCACACCCTCCTTGAAACAGTTTTTCCATTTGACTTCCAGAACACTGCACTTCCCTGGTTATTCTCATCCACACTGGTTGCTCCTTTGCGGTTTTCTCCTTAGTCTATCAGCATGTCCCAGACTAAACTCCTGATCACCTCCTGCAAGCCTGTTCCTCCCAGTCTTCCTCATCTGTTAATGGTAACTCCATCCTTCCAGTCGATCAGACCAAAACCCTTGTCTTTGTCTCTTTATCGCTCATTCCATATCCAGTTTGTAAGCTACTCCAGAGTCTGACCACTTCTTCACCACTCCCATTACAGTCCAAGCCTTAGTCGTCTAGATTATGCATGATCCTTATAATTGGTCTCCCTGCTTCCACCTCCTCGCCCTGTCCCCATGGTCTGTTCTTTATACAGTAGACAGAATAATCCTTTATTTATTTATTTTTCTATTTTTTCATTTATTTTATTTATTTATTTATTTTTTATTAGTTGGAGGCTAATTACTTTACATCATTACAGTAGTTTTTGTCATACATTGAAATGAATTAGCCATGGATTTACATGTATTCCCCATCCCAGTCCCCCCTCCCACCTCCCTCTCCACCCGATCCCTCTGGGTCTTCCCAGTGCACCAGGCCCGAGCACTTGTCTCATG